AGACTAATCTTTAGGCAATTATTATTATAAAATATTATCAAAATAATAATAATAATAATATATTTTACCTAATAATATCTATCACACCTCCTCAATCGAAGTGGGAGGTTGACAAACGCCTAAATTGTTCCGAAAATCATCATATAGTATGCATGGAAGATCTTTGGCGACAATATCAACAATTTGATAGTGGGACGGAACATGAAGGACACGGACATACAAAGTGTATGTCCATCTCAATATACTTTGTGCGTTGATGTTGTACAGGATTATCCGATAGGTAAATGACACTCATATTGCACAGTACACCAATGTAGCTTTTTGAATTGGACAATGAAACTCTAGAAGAAGGTTTTGAATCTAACAAGATTTGTAAACATTCTTTGCTACTTCTCTATATTCAACTTCAACACTAAAACGGGATAATGTAGGTTATCGTTTGGACGACCAAGAAATCAAGTTATCACCGAAGGAAACACAATACCCAGATGTAGACCGTCTAGTATCCGGATATCCACAACTTGCATCTGTGTAAGAGAGAATGTTTCCAATATTGGATTTGTACAAATACAAGCCAAAATCAATAGTACTCTGGATATATCGTAAAATACGCTTGAGAGCATGCATGTGCTCTTCCTTGGGATCATGCATATAAAGACATATTTGTTGAACTGCATAAAAAATGATAGGCCTTGTAAAAGTGAGATATTGCAATGGTCCAGCAAGACGTCTGTACTTAGTAGGATCCTCAAAGGGAATGCCTTTACAAGCACTAAGTTTGGGTTTTGTGTCAATTGGTGTGGAACAAGTTTTGCAATTAGTCATCCCTACTCTTTCAAGAATTTCTTCTGTATATTTTTTGTGTGAAAGAAACATACTAGTTGCCTGACAGGTAACTGCAATCCCTAAAAAATATCTGAGTGGACCAAGATCCTTCATAGCAAACTCTGCACTCAAGAATGACATAATGAACTTTCTAACAAAATCAGAGGAAACCACCAAGATAATATCATCAACATACAACAAAATATATACAATATCAAACTCCTTATGATATATGAATAAAGAATGATCAGATTTACTATTTTTGAAACTGATTGTGGCCATATAATTTACAAATCGTTGGTACCAAGCACGAGGGGCTTGCTTTAGGTCATAGAGTGACTTCTTTAACAAGCAAACATAATCAGGATGAGAGGAATCCTTAAAACCCATCGGTTGATGCATATAATCGATTTCATTTAGACTACCATGTAAAAATGCATTTTTGACGTCCAATTGATGAATGAGCCATGATTTAGACAAAGCAATGGTTAAAACCATTCAAATGGTCACTTGTTTCACTACAGGTTGAATGTTTCATCACAATTTATTCCTTTCTTTTATGACATGTCATTATCTACAAGACGAGTTTTATACTTCTCAAAAGAACCATCATAGTTGTGTTTATGTATAAAAATCCATATAGACCGATTTATATTTACATCAAGGGGACGGGGTACCAACTCCCATTTTTTGTTTTGAATTAGAGTATTATATTCATCAGTCATGATATTATTCCAGTTTGGGTCATGAAGAACTCTCATCGGATTCTTAGTAAAGGAGAAATAGAGGTGGTGGTCAAAGCACTCAAATTATGGGTATATTTTGGATTTTGTTTAATTATGTCATGTGGACTACGAGTGGTCATGTGGTGGGGCCTAAGATTGATTATTGTGGCTGACGGGTTGAGGTTTGAGAAGAGAGAGTAGCAATTGGTGAGGTTAAAAGTTTATTAGTGTGAGGTGATAAGACTAGTTGAGGATAGGCATGGCAACAAGGTGGGACGGGGACGCGTTTTGCCTCCCCGATCCCCGCCCTTGATTTTTTTAACCGTTTTCGTCCCCGTTCCGTCCCCAATCTATATATTATTTTAAAAAATAATTATATTTATAATAAATTAATTATACTATTTTTATGTATTTTTTATATATAAATAAATATTTATAATTTTACAGTTTGTAATTATTATTAATTAAATATATATTTTAATTTATTATATTTATATTAAAATATGTATGTAAAAGAAATATTTAATTATTTTTTATTTATACATATATAGATTATTATTATTATTATTATTATTATTATTATAATTATATTGTATTCAAACATTTGAATACTTATAACATTATTATTATTATTATTATTATTATTATTATTATTATTATTATTATATTGTATTCAAACATTTGATTACATGTATAAATTAATTCATTTGTAAGTTGTCATTTAAAAATATGAAATATATAGTTTATAAGGAAATATTTAATAAGTTAATTCTTATTTAATTAGTTCGAAGTAATAAAATTTTAAATTATCAATTCTTTTTAATCCTTTAAAATATAATTATTTTATTAAGATAAAATTTGATATATGACAAATAAGAATAATAAAATCAAAAAAATATGACATAATAAAACTTAATAAATATAAATTATAAATAAAATAATGTTAGTTAGTACTAAGATTTATGTAAAATATGTAGAAAAAGAAAAAAAGTAGTTTTGTGTTCATCAAATTGGTTGAAAAGATTGGAAAAAAAAACAAATCGATTGGAGATATTAAGAAAATGTGAAAAAATGAAAGGTAAAAGAAAGAGAATAATGTAATAAACTAATTGATATAAAAGATTAAAAAGACAAAAAAATTAAAAAGTGGGTAGAAGTAAAGTAAAAATGGTGAAATATAAAAAGTAACCTTATATGTAATAGAAAAAGAAAAGAAAATATTTTTAAAATATTAATATTTTAAAACATAAATTTAAATATAAAGTCGGGTCGAGGTCGGGGTGGGGATTGCATTACCCATCCCCGCCCTCGTCCCCCACCCCCTGTCAACTCAGTTTTTCCCCGTCAAACTCGGGGAGGGGATGGATCGGTCCCCACGGGTACAAGTTTATTTGTCATACCTCATTGAGGAGAGGGTGATGTTGATTGAGAGCTTGGACATGTATGTGTAAGAGGAAGTGTGAGTTTTGTAATTTGATTTTGTGATACATAGGTTCTTAGGTGATAGATTAAGTGTAGAGATGTATCTTCACTTAATGGGTCATACTCTCTTGGAGATGGATCATGTGTTTTTGAGAAAGGAAATTATGTCTCAAAAAAAAATTGCATGACATGAAATAATTATTTTTCTGCTTGAAAGATCATAACACTTGTAACATCGATGGTTTGATGGGTAACCTAGAAAAACACACAGGATGGAACTAACTTGCAACTTATTGATTTTAGTGTTTAGAAATAGAGGATAATAAAGACAACCAAATACATGAATATAGGAAAATATTGGATTTTTACAATAGAGGATTTGCATCGGGGAACGATATCCTAAAACTTTGGTGGGGAAAATGTTTAGTAGATAAGTGGTCATTTGAAAAGCATGGATGATTATGCTAATAAAGTGCGAATAATGTTGTTAATGGATTTAATATGTCATTCAACTTTACCAATTTGAGGAGAGGTGTGAGGGTAAGATAACCTAAATTGCATTCCACTTTGATCACAAGATTTTTTAAACGAATCATTAGCAAATTCCTTTCTATTATCACATTGCAAATTTTTAATGTTTCTTTCAAATTGGATTTTAATTAGATTTTGGAAAGATTGAAAAATGGAATAAAATTGTGATTTTTTAGAAATGGGAAAAATCCACAAAAATTTACTAATATCATCAAGAAATAATACATAATATTAATGGCTAGATATGGGTGATGTCCAAATATCACTATAAATAATATCAAAGGGAAATTCAACAAAAGAACAAGAGGCATTAAATGGTAATTTCACATGTTTACCAACAGGACAATAAGTGAAAAAACCATGACTGCCTTTATTAAAATTTATAAAATTTTGACGATAAAGAGAGTTTAGAATAGTAGCTTCGGGATGACCTAAGCGATTATGCTACAATGTGGAAGACAAAACTGTAAATGTTGAAGGAATTATTGGTGGAGAGATCGTCTGATAGTTGGGACGGATGAGGTAAAGATCTCCAAAGTTGTTACATCACATTAGATAGTTCTTTGTGTGCAAATCCTTCACCGAAAATCCAAAAGGAGCAAATTCAATAGAAACCAGATTATCAATGGTAAATTTATAAACAAATATGAGGTTTTTGATGAGTTTTAGTGCATGTAACACATTATTTAGGTTTAAAGGAGGGTGAGATGGGGATAGTGTACATGACCACAAATAGGAATCAAATGACCATTACCAACAATAATATTGTGATCTTTGCTCGAATCAAAATAAGATGAGAGTGTACCTTGATTTGTTGTCATATACGTGGTTATCAAACTCGTGAGTTAACTCGCTGACTCGTACGAGTCAAATAATCGGGTACGAGTAACTCATGAGTAAACTCGTTTTAGAGTAGACTCGGTGAACTCGATGAACTCTAAGTAAAATCATGAGTTAGAGGCGAGTAAGCGAGTTTGAAGGAAAAGAAAAACTTGGATCTTTTTTTACTCTCCTCATTTCTTCTCACAAGTTCAAATCTCGCTCATTCCCACTGTTCATCGCTGCTCGTCGCGTGTTTGCCCTTGGTCGCATGGTGGTCACGCAACGCTCAACGTTCACCTGGTCGCACGGTGGTCGCACTTCTTGCAATTGTTTTCCGCTGCTCACCACCCTCTAGGTTAGATTGAGGAATTGAGGGATTTGGAATTTTAGGATTTTCGAATAAATGGGACAAGTTAGATTGAGGAATTTAAGGATTTGGATTTTAGGGTTTCGAATAGATGGAGAGATTTTAAACATTCAGGATTTTTTTTAATTTTGATTATACTGTTGTACAAATTCAATTATTATTTTTTTATTTTAATAATGAGAAATTAATATTATTATATTTATTATTAAATTGGTATTTTTCATATGAAGTAAACTCTTACGAGTCTACGAGTCGAGTTTACCGACCTCTTATAAGTCTACGTAAACTCTCGAGTCTGATAATCTTGTTTATATGAGAGGTAGCACATGTGTCCATATACCAATTCTCATCTGATTGAGAGATTGTAAAAGTATACATAGCTGCATTAATTCCTTAAGTATGTCCCCAACATTAGATGGTGCTACTAATGTGTTGTATGATTGTTGTGGTGGTAGCAGTCCAAGAATACATGCTTGGCATGGAGGTCTAGGTTGCCACGAGGTTGCAGGATAAGGGTATGAAGGTTGGGCCCGTCCAGTCCAAGGATTAAGGAAGGGTTGTTGATATGGTAGGAATGCTTCATACTGCGAGTATTGCATCAACTGTTGTGGTGCACCATTTTTTCCAACACCTGCAACCCCACCATAGTCATGTTCGCCTCTACCACCACGGGTGTTGTTACCTTTGCCACGATTGGTATTATGACCACCCTGGGAATTATTGGTATTACTTTGGTATTATTATGGTTGTGAATTGGAGTCTTCATTCACAAATAAAAATGCAGAGAAACCAGATTTACGGGTTGTTCGCACCTTACTCGTGGTCTAACGTTAATCAGAACATGTTGTAGTAAAACTTGGCTAGTCATCTTTTTTTTCCATAATTGTGACAAAACCAGCATATCCTTCGGTTAAGCCAACGAGCAAACAAAACACTAGACATTGATCTGAAACAGGAGCCCCAACATTGGATAATTGGTCAGCAAGAAATTTGAGTCAGTTACAATATGCGAAGGTTCTGAAGAAATTTGTTAAGTTCGTGTTCGTAAACTGAGTTTCAAGATATCTTGCTCTAATGTTTTTGTTATCTTGAAATAAATCAGTTACATGTTACCAAGCTTTAGCAGCCGAATCATCGACTACAAGGATCGATGTGAGAATATCAGAAGATATAGTAGCATAAATCCATTGAAGAATAACAACCTTGACTATTTGGTATGTTGTTATGGCAGCGACCTCTGTGGGAGGAATGATATGTTCAAGCACGAAATGATCTTTAGTTTGAACCTTAAATAAGGTTGTCCATGAGTGCTATTGATTGGTTTTCATGTCCAAAGTTATTGGAATGAGATGTTTCATGTTGGTTACAGTTAGGACAAAGTAAAATTTGAAATTGTCAGCCATGGATGAGCAGCTATGGAAGAAAGAGGAAAAAAAAATGCTTCAAAAATGAACAATGATGACTAGGTTTTTCAAAAAAAGGAGGAAGGTAACTTAAATTATACCATGTTAAATGTAATAATACACCTATGCATAGAGATATAAACTATAATTTAGGCTTTAACCAGTTATAATTTAAGCTAATCTTTAAATAATTATTACTACAAAATATTTTCAAAATAATAACAACTTATTTTATCTAATAATCTTCATCACTATCTTATTTGATTTTTATATTTAGTTTAAATAACTATTTAATAAAAATAATTATAATAACCGTGACATCAATTATAAGGGGGAGCTACAATGAAAGCTGAAGGTTAATTTGGACAAATTCACAGCAACAAAAATAAATAAGCTAAGTGACCTAGTCACTAATGAAAATAATAAAAAAATAAAAAATTTATTTTATATTTTATATTTTTTAATTTTTTAAAAATAAAAACTGATTTCTTTTTTAATTTTAATATCGTAGTTATCATACAAGTTTTTTCAGTTTTAAAAAAAATGTAAAAACTGATTGGTAAGAATGAAAGGTGAAATTTGAGATATAAGAACGGATTAAAGCTTTAAGATGACATAAAGAGTTGAGATTGGTAATAAAAAAAGTGAAAATTGTAATTTTGAGACTAAAGAAGTTCTATTTGAATAAATTTATCTGTAAAAACTTTTAGTGAGAGAAATAATAAAAGAATATTTTCTATAAATTAAAATTAATTAAAAAAAATGACATGGTTAGTTTGAGATAGGGAGTAAGTTGAAGACTGTTTAAAAAAAACAACTACTACTAAGTTTGAGAGACGAGAGTACAATGAAAAAGGTGATTGGAAAAAAAATATAAAAAATTGTTAACTTCATATATCGAATTTGAAATAAATTTAAGTTAATATGGTTAAATAGTTAGATTTTATTAGCTATCAATAAACCTAATTTAAATTAAAACATCTTATAACCTTACTGTAAATAAACTTCACTTTAACTCTTCTTATTTAAAAAAAAAAACTAAAGAATACACAGATGATACTATTGTTATTTCTATATATTAATTGTTATTATAATATTTTGAAATTTTATAATTATTAACTTATTTTAAAAACTATGTAAATAATAGATTTATTAATGATTAACCACTACAAAAATGTAATACTTATAACCTTTTTCATAAGCTGTATTATAAAATAGATATTTTAAGCAAACTTTTAAATCAGATCAAACTTGAAAAAAAAAACAAATATATCTTAAAACTAAGCCTATATAATATTCCAAATTTAATTTGAATCAAATTAGAAAGAATCTAATAACTCCAACCCATTTCTATTACTATTCTTAAGCAACCTTATTTATCCAAAATTAGAACAATCTAATCACAAGAACCAAGATTCGTTTGATCGTGTTTCCTACCAAAAGGGTTAAAATATCATATTTCAGGTTCACTTACAATTTCTCCACAACCAAACATGCCCCTCTTTCATTATTTTCAAGAACAAAACATCTCGAATATTTGCTAGCTTTATGTCCCCCCTCCTTTCATTTCTTTTATTAAAGTCTAACAAATTCTCTACTTTTTTATTTTTTGAATATTATTAATCTGCATGTAGCATTGAATTCTCCCCTTCAAGAAATCACTTTTTTTTGTAAAAATTATCTTCTTCTTTGACTTATGCAAATGCAGTTGTGTAGGTACGTTCCACCTATGGTCTTTGGCGTGCATGGGGTGAGTTATTTGCTCTGTGTTGCTTGTCTTAGTTTGGCAGCTGAGAAAACAAAAAAAGTACTGAATTTTCCATTTGAATTTGACTTTTACTGCCCCACTTATTACTTAATCTGCAAGAAAATAACTTTTTCGATGTGTTATTTATAATTATGTGATTTTGTTTCACCAAGTGAGTTTTGAGGTTTTGTCTAGCAATGAGTGAAAATGGGTCAATATGAAAGATCCACAGGCACAAGTTGTCTTGATTAAGGTGATATTGCCGCTTTTGTGTGGCTAATTTTTAGAAAATTGAAAGTTTTATTGCTTTGCATCTTTTAATCTTTCTGGGTATGTTAAGGTTCTTCTCTGAAGTTTGTAATAATTTTTTTAATCACGTTTAGGAATCTTTGCTTGTACTTGCTTGGTTTTTAAGCAAGCATAAGATATGTCAATAGGGTAGCCTGATAGGGCTTTTTGTTGTATGTCATTCTTTCTTTGGATTCTTTGGATGTTTGTGTAAGATACATACAATTTGCTTCTGTTAGAGTTTCATGAGAGAAATGTGTTATTGGGGTTGCTTTCAAGCACCGTTGATTAGATGCTTTGGGAAGAAACCCTCATTTTCAGTGTTTTGTGGTGCCTGGTTTCGTGTTCTTGTGCTCTCTTCCATGGATAAGTTAATGCTCAAATGCAAGGGGTTTTTCTGTGTAAGAGAGACTTATTTTATGCATATTTTAATTTCAGGAATAGGGGTTTTTCCTATTTGCTCCCATTGATGTCTTGTCAAAACAGTTACTACATCTCTAACACTGTATGGTAGCAACTTTTTATAGATTTGCACTTACCGTAGTACTTGCATATATCTATTGCAGGGGAGCCTTGTAGCTGTGCTTGGCACAGGTTGTTTCAATTTTTTCTTATTCAAATGTAAATTCAATTGACAAGAAAAAGAAAAGACTAGTACTGATTTTGAACTTGATGGAGATATTTAAGATTTGAGATCATTTTTCCAGAATCTTTGATTTTGCAAATAATCTGTATTTGTGTTGTGTAAGAGATTGATTGTAAACAAATAAACATAAAAGTTTGTTATATGAGGAAGTTCATATTTGTAGTGTGCTTCTTCTGATCTGATAAATTCTCCGACACAAATATCAAGTGATATAAAGATAATTAACAAGTGAACAATACAAAGAGTGTAGACTATTATGTCTCTCTGTTCGATTTGCCTTTTAATGTACTGTTTAAGTGTAATGATAAGAACTATAAACCCAGTGAGGCATTCATGCCAGGTTGTGTTGATTAACTTGTGTTATAATTGGTAGCAGCAATTCTTCTTTATTATCAAGCTGGTAGAGTGAATGTTATTAGTAGTTGGTGTTGATCATGCTTATGGTGTAACCTGCAATATAACAGAAAATAGGTTGTCTTGGATGCTGCAACCCAGGGATTAATTCAATGGATGAAGCTTCTCAAGGACTGAGAACTCAAGACCAAACAGTGACTAAAGTGGATGGATCAGAAGATTTCTGGAGCAGCAGCACCTTTGAATTAGACCACAGCGCAGCTAACTCACATAGAAGCATCTCATCAATCGGAATATCGAATAATCCTTCAGATCCTCAAAGTAGTGGAGGCGGTCAAAGTGATCCTCCTGAATTTATCAACCATGGCAAGTTTGCTGTTATATTGGTTCTCTACTATGGAAACAGTCTTGCTTAATCGTTAATGGATTTACTCCGGACTTTTGTGTTTTTCCAATGTTTTAATAATGAGAAATACTAATTGAAAACATAAAATTATATAGGTTTCACATCTTATTTAATGAGTCTCACTAATGGTTTTAGAGACTGTTAGAAAGAGCTGTTAGAAAATGTGTTGCTAGCATTCCTCTTTAATATTTTTCACACAATGTTTGCATCAAACACCTTGAACATCAAGTAACAGATACTATTCAACTTCCTTGGAATAGGTCGAAAGTAGTATTCTTATGTTCATTTTGAAAGCATCTTCACTTCACATTCTGAAATACAAACTAGTTTTCAGGATTTTGGTTTATCTGTATGCATAATTCTTCATTTTCCTTCATTTCTGACAGAAAAATTTGATCTATGCAGGGCTTTTTCTCTGGAACCAGATAAGACAACAATGGCTTGGAAACAAAAGGTCTGAGAGTATCACAGAAATTCAAGAACCAAGAATAAGGTAAACAAATATACGCATTCTACGGTGAAATCTCACGTGCTGAGTTAATATATATTCCCTTCCCTTTCTCTTTCATGAATAATGCACATATTTTTCTGCACTGAAGAGAAGCAATGGTTGGTGCTTATTGTCACACTGATCTAGCTTCCACACACCACATGTGACGTGCAGTTTCTGAAGTGCTTTTAGTTGAGCATTCTAATACAAGTTATAATTTTACTTTGATAACTTGTGACCCTTAACATAACTTCTACTCTACAAATATTGGAGTTGAAACTCAAATTCTAATGAGAGGACATCAAAAGTATCTGAGGAACTCTATACAAGATATGTTCTTTTGAGGTGTTTCTGAACCTCCTAATTCTGAATTTATGTTTCACAGTTCCAATGCCACCTACGACACCCTACTTGGAAACAACAAGCCCTTTCCCCAACGCATCCCTTTGAGAGTATGATTTTCTGAACCTAGTTCATCATCTCTTGATATTTTAGTTAGAAAAATACTAGTATCAAACACACTCTCTAATGCATTCTTTTAATTTTTTTACTCCCCCTAATATCTATTATAAGGAAGAACTTTGAAAAAAATGTTGGTTCTTAATATAAGGCATTTTATAATTTTACTCCCACCCTTTTTCTTAACATGTAACTAATTGTTTATAATATATGTTGTGATAGGAAATGATTGACTTTCTTGTTGATGTTTGGGAGCAAGAGGGTCTCTACGACTGACCAAACAAAATTGTCAATTTTATTTTTTTTTTCCAAGGATTTTGGAGGAGAGGTGATGTGGAATTTGTTTCTTGTCCCAATAGCTGTCAATGGGATAACTTCCAAATTTTCTCTTTCTCTGTGTGACTTCTTTTCTTATTCCAAATCCATTAAATTAGTTTATTTGTATAACTTCTTTCGTGATTTTACTGGAGTGATTCATAGACAAATTAGTCCAAATTTTTTATGAAGTATAATATGTTAAGTCTAAAGATAGGGTGTCAAAATGGATTTGTCCCAATTAATCCAAGTAAATGTTTGGGATGAGCTATGAAATTTTAGGTCCGAACTCATTTTGTTTGGGGCACATTCTTTCTTCACCTCCGAACGTTCTCTCTGCACCTCGTATTTGTTTTAAAACACAATAACACTCAATAGTTTTATGGAATGGCCGATCCGGAAGCATATCATGGAGAATTTCGGATTGAAAAATCTAGAAATAATTTACTAATAATTCAAAAAGTTATTTTTCATATGTATGATTTAAGATCTAAAGTTAGATTATGGGAAACTTTTTGTTAGGTATTTTTCTGAAGTACTAATAATAAAGAAATTTTTACGAATAGGATATAAGTCAATCATATAATCATATAAGAATATGACATAATTTTCAACTTAAAACCTCAAGCATTATTAAATTATGGATCTTTCTCACTTATAAGTTATTCAACTTTCATATTTTTGTCTAATGTGGGACTTAAACTCACTTGAATTTTCAACAATTTCTCTCTTAAATGTGATTCCATTTTACATAAATACATCACCCTCTCCAGCGGAAGTATTTTTCTTAACAATGAGTACCCAGTAGTAGCCTTACTTGTACCGTCGTTCAACTCAATGGGACTTGCTTGCCTGAAACCCTTGTGAGGAAGAATGTTGACATAAAGACCTTTCATCTACTCTAATCATTCTCAACTGAGTCGGTATAAACCATCTACTCTAATCATATTTAACTGAGTTGGTCACCAAACGAATCATCGGCTCTTATACTACTATTTTAATCATATTCAACTGAGTCGGTCACCAGACAAACCATCGACTCTAATACACCGTTAGGAATGAGAGTAACTGCATAAGAACTCACAACTAAAATAATATATGAAAAAAGAGAAACAAAACCAACAATATACAATAATAAAATTTTACGAACGGAAGAAATTACAATATCATTTTTAAATCTTAAGAGAAAATAATAATAATATATTCTTTAATAAATAAGAAAATTTAACTACTATGCAATGCACCTCTAGAAAAAAAAAAAAGAAATTTGAGTTGATTTACAAGATAAACATTAAGATCTTTTTATAACAGAAAAAATAAGTAATAAGTACTAATATATAATTGTCCTGATGTAAGATTTTTCTTCTCACATTCTCACAACTTTCTTAAACGAGTGTTTTAAAAATTATTTTAAATAACCTTTTCGAAAACTCTCTCAAAAGTTTTAAATTCAACTTTCATATATGTTTCTAGAAAGTTTTTCAAAATATCATTTCAAAATATTTTTAAAAAGTTTATTCCTTAATAGTGAATGTAAAATTTATTACTAGTTCTAGATAAATAAATATGGAGTATTGGAAAGAATTATGAAATATGGAGGTATAAAAAAAACTTTGTTTAGGATTAGGAATATGATTTTCTTTATTTTTCTTTTCTATCCATTTATCATTTTCAATATTTTTAAGTTTATATAGAATTTTAATAATTTTAAAAGAAAACATAGAATGACACATAAGTTAAAGACAATCTTATTCTAATTGGATAAGACTAACATGGATGATAAAATCACCATCTAAGAATTTAACATAAATGTAGGATTTGAACTAGAAATTAAAAATTAAATTAAAAAATCGTTTGCCAATTATATATATATATATATATATATATATATATATATATGATAGTAATTATAATATAGTATCTATGTTTTAAAGTATATATTTTTTATAAATTTTGGTTATACAAATCAAAGATTTAGTCTGCATGATTCATTGCAGATAAAAACAAAAGTTAAAAAGAAAAGAAAAAAACATCGAAATGACTTACCAAGAAGCAATTTTAAACATAAAATGAAATATTAGAATGTAATTTTTGGCCACTAAACATGATTCAGATATTTATTAATCACGCTCATCCAATTTTTTTTTCTTTTGTCTTTTTATTAGCGTGTTCATACTCCTTTTCATTTCCCACTAAAGTCGACCATCCCATAATATATAAATAATTACAAGCTGAAAATTATTAAAACAGTAAATTAAGCATTAAGATTATTTAACTTAATATTATTTCTCTTTCATCAAATTGTTCAATTAATTCTTACTTTATTTCTTCCAAAGTAATTCTTATAAATTAGTTTTATATTTGTTTTGATAAAGTAGGTTAGGAAGCATATCTTTTGATAACTGAGAGCTCTCAGCTCCAAAAGTTGTTATGACTACTAATTTATGATTTTGGTCTCCCAAACTTAATAAATATTTAATATATTTACTTATTTATTTACAATTTTATCATCTTAGCTCCTCCTAACTCTCATATAATTTATTATTTTGTCTTTCTCAAACTTAATGATCATTTAACATATTTAAGTATATATCTATAATTTTATATTTTCACCCTTTTATCTTCTTTTTTTATATTTATTTATTAATTATTATTTATTAATAATATATTATTTTGTCTCCTCAAAATAACTGTCGCTAGTAAAAAGATAGGTTGGATCGTGAAGATAATTGACAATAAGGATTTAGTTTGTCTAATGAATTGGATGAATTAGTAAGGATTATAATTAAAAATATTATATTTTTATTATTTGTAATTAAAGTATGTAAATATATTATAATATTATAATTTAAATTATAAATATTAATTAATTAAATATAAAATATTGATTATAATAGAGTATTTTAACATTATAATAACTTTTTTAATTTTTATCAATATTCAATTATAATTCTGTTTGAAATTTCCATTTTAATTGATAAAACAAACCATTCATGAAGAGTTATTCAAATTTAAAGATAAATGTCTTTTTTTTAAGCATTCATTCTTCCGTGTTCACCCTCAAATTAAAATATTTAAACCAAATTACTTTTCTACGGCGACAATTAATAATCCAAGGTTGTTAAGAAGAAGGTTGTTGGAAATGGCCAAAGTTGGAGAATATATAAATAGATTTTAACTTTAAAAAAGTTATTTCAGTTTTTTAAAAAGTTCTTAGGAAGAAGTTTTTTTAAAGAGACTCTAAAAATATTAAAAGGTGAATGATGATGTAAAAATGGGAAGAGACATAAAAAAAATGGAATAGATTGTTATAAGATTGATAATTTGACTATTGTTAATAATTAATAAGTTTTATAAATTTGATTTAGCTTTATTTTTTATATTTTTTAAAAACGGTTTGAGAAATTAATTTTGAAAATAAATATAATAATTTTAGTTTTGAAAAAAATAATTTGTAAATGGAGAAAGTAGTTTAAACATGTAGTTATTTTGTTCCCTTTATAATATCTATAATATTCATCCACACGTAGTGATAAGGAAAATGAGTTGAATATTGGGATAAGAAGAGGAATGAAAGGGTAACGTTGGTTCCCTTCTAAGGTGGCAAGAGTCAAACATGGTAAGAGAAAAGTAAGACAAAATAAACTGTTGACAAGTGGCAAAACACTTTCATAAAAATAAGGTTTGAATAAATTAACATTGAACAAATGAATGGCCTCCAAATTGGACCATGCAATATGAAGTATGTGCCAGTCTCCAAAATATTAATCTCAAGACATAAACCAATGCATTTCACGCTTTCAGTGTGCTTTATTCAAATTCATAAGAGGGTTGTTGTAACAGTAACACGTTATTTTATTTTGGGTTTTTCTACAAAATATTTATTATAACATTGACTAATTAAGTGTATTTTTGTCTTTATATATATATATATATAATTCGTGACCAACAAATAGGAAAAAAAAAAAAACATGAAGAGGAGAACCCTTATAATCAAAATAAGTTTGTATATCAAGCTTACCACAAATACCTGCATAAAAATTAATCAGCCTTATAACAATAATATTGAGGCTTACCACGAACTGCATAAATCAATATTCTCACAAATATCTCTATAAGAACAACATTCATATGCTAATATATTTATGTTTAGGAAACACAATTATTTACATATTTATGTATATCTCAAATAGTTTTTGTTCTTAAAAAATTAAGCTATTGATATAAATTTATTGGAAGAATAATGTTAATATGAAAAAGGGCTCATATGTGAAGTGAGATTCAACAAACAACTTTAGAAAAAATAATAATAATCAATTTTACAAAAAAATTCTATTATAACAAAATTTATTGTAAATTGTTTAAGCACGATGTGATACAATAATTTCATATTTTATATTTTATAAAATTAAAACAATTCATCTAAGCTATTTTTATTAAAGATGTTTTAATAAAAATATTTAAACAATATATTATGTCATTTTAGAATTTTTTTTAATAACAAATTATTTAAGCAACTGTATTGTATTTAAACATTTTAATAAATAAACTCATTAAAAAAACTCTTAAAACATATCAAAATTATTTATATAAGTAATTTTAACATATTTTAAGTAATGAGACTCACATTAAAATAATTTATTTTATTTCTAATAATTTTTATGAGTGTTTATAAGTAAATCTTCCCGATAATGTTCTAACATAAATACATATTCATAATAAGAGGGAGAAGTATTTAAATTAAAAATGAGAAGAGCAAAATATTTCTGAAAGATTATAAAGTCAAGTGATATCAGTCAACTGAAAATAAATTAAAAAACCGTCAAATTAACATACTAACTTTTAAATTTGGTAGAAAATATATGAGAATGTTTTAGTACTTGAACGTGATAATAAAATAGGATTATAAATGATTGTATTCCCAGAGATTGTTAAAATCAAATTTAACCAAGAAAATTTGA